GTTGCCACTGAGCCCACACTTGAATGCTATGACCAAGTGTCCATCTTCCATCCACTCATCACTAACAGAAGACTTTGAGACCACGCCCCCAATACACAGGCCTTCGGGTGGGTGGCAGGGGAGGGGGAAGGACAGGAGGGGACATCCGAACTATTACCCAAACTGTAACAGGGCTGACAACGGCCATAAACACAGACCTGGACAGCCACAAACACAGGAACCTAAAGCAAGGCTGTTACTTCAGGCAGGATCCACCAAAAGTTCTCATCCAGGCCTGCTGAAAACCCAGGGGACTGGAGACATCCGTAGACTGGCCAGAGTAGGTGCAATGGACAGGCAGTCCCCAGGAGCACCACACCCTAGGACACAGGTCTGCATCCCTAAATACCCGACCCCAGGGAAACCCATGCCTGCTCAAGGGAAATGACACCACCCCAGCTGGGCAGCCCACATGAGTGCCAACAGCCAACACAGCACTTGCAAGACACGGTGGGCACTGCCACAGCAACAACCTACACTCCAAGAACGGCAGAGTCCCCTGTTCCCTACTGCCTCACTGCATGGAGCAGCAAGGCCGCGCCACTGACCTTGGCCAAGACACAGGGCTTAGTCATGCACTAAGAAACTTCTTCCTCTGCTCTCCGACTTTTCTTGTTGGTCGTTGGTGAGTTACTTATTTATATTCTGTCCTTCAAGGCATTTTACGTTATTCTGAAATGTTTGCCTTGCCCTGCAGTCTCACATCACAAACCTTCCCCTTTTTAAGATTAAATCCAAGCGAGTAAGACAGGCAAAGAAAAACCAGTGCTTCCTACCTCCTGGCTTCAGACTGGCCCAGTCCCAGGTATTGGGGACATTTAGGGAGTGAGCTAGCAGATGGAAGATCTCATTCTCTCTCTCCCTCTCCTTTTTTCAAAGAAATACATAAAAATGTTTTTAAAAAAAAAAGAATCACAAAGTTTTAGAAGTTAGAGCAATAAGCACTCAAAAACGTACAGAATACAAATGCAGAGTATCTTGTTTATATAATAAGAATTCAGGGTAATATAGACAAATCTTTTATATGGCTAGGCCTGGCAAGACAGTAGAAACCCATGTCTCAAAGAGCTAAACATGCCAGAACATGGGAGCTCGCGACCCCCGAGGGCCAGACACAGCAAAGGTGGGCTCCCTTATCACAAGGCCTCTCTCTGCTTCCAGAGAGAAAATTCACTAACTCCGTATAAGGTACTGGACCAAAGATCCCATAGTGAGGAAAAAGAAAAGAAAATCATTAAGTCACACAGAGAAAGCTGCTGTAGTTTACCCAAATATAAAACATTTAACTAATCCACTGTGTGACTTGCAAGTGGGCAACAAATGGAAAGCCTTAACTCAGGAACTCAAAGATGCTCCAACTTCTGGTTGACTAAGATAGCTAATTTGGGCAGTTCTAGAGGGGGAAGGTGGGCTGGCAGGACAAAGCAAGGAAGAAGAAGAGGGGAATGAAAACCGAGAGAAGAGCTAAGGTGGTAGAGAGCAGGACAGAGCGGGACAGACAGACTCAGAGCACCAAGGGAGTTCTGTGAGGGCACACGGCACCCACAGGTGCGGAGCGGCCACTGTGCACCTGCTGCTGCCCGTCACCTGGCATGCACTCCCCACCCAGCCGCTCTAATCCTCAAATCCTGACAGGGAAATCCCTGAGGCTCAGGCTCCACGGGGTGGGACTAGATCACTCCCGGGGTTCAATGACCCCAAGAGCAATAACCGGAGATGCCCACAAAACCAAACTTTACGATCTCCACTAGCAAAAACTGGGTCCCGCCTCTTTATATGGGCTGGGTGGGTTTTCCAGTTCTCCAGCCTGGCTCACACCATTGCTTTCTCTGATTCAGTAGACGTTCATGAAAGGCCCTACTGTGCCTGGTGATCCAGCAGCCAGAGGCTGCCCGGCATGGAGCTGACAGGGGAGACCCAGGAACTACAGGGGCATCAATCCTCAGCAGGATTGCACATGTCCGCACGGAGGGAGGGGTGAGCCCAGCATCTCCTAACAACCCTCCCCCCACCCCATCACAGACACATTTCTCAAGGGCAACTTCAGTTCCAGCTGAGCACAGGAGAAACTGCGTGAGTCCAAAGGCTGACAAGAAAACACTGAAAATATTACAGTTAAAGCTTGCACTGATTAAAAATAAACAAAACTCTAAGTGTTCAGGCCAAACACAGCCTTCATTATCTGCAACCACACACACTATAACTTCTGAACGGAATAAACAGCCAGGGAATATTTTTAGTAATGCTCAAATAAGTTCCTACAGACAGCCCAGCCTCGTGTCTGACAAGATTCTCAAGAATCTTCAAGAAGCAAGTGACGCTTGGCAGGGGAGCCTTCACTATCACACATGCTTTTTGTGCTTTGAACACTGGGGACCCTCTTGGAAGGAACCGGGTCTCGAAGTGGGGCCTGCCTAAAGGAGCAAGGGGAGATGCTGTGTACTACATACACGGCATGGAGATTCAGTGTATCACAAGAAACTCAGCTCTGTTTTGCACAAAAACCTCCAAACGTTGGTTGAGACCCTATTTCCCAAACTTATTGGACCAGGAAACCCCTTTTTTTCATGTAATACTTCTTTGAGCACGCCACAAGCTGCTGCATGCGACACACGGAGACCATGCTATATAGAGGGCACACACTGCCTCAGCTGAAATGCAATTCACCACCCGCTTCCCAGCTCTAATCAAAAGGCATTGATACTGGACCTTATGCAACTATATCAACTTTGCAATTCAACCAAAGATAGGTTGACTTCCTCTAGTTTTAAGAAGACATCTTTAAGGACCTTAAGGAAGACATTAAATGACCAATATACAGAAATTCAGGCTAAACACATGCTCACTTGACTTTGCGAAATTGTTGCAAGTTAACTTTCTTTTCCAAAATGCATTGCTCAATTTCTAGGGTATATTTCTTAGTAATTTGGAAGGCTTATTCTCTTGAAGAAAATGTTGAGCTAAAAAGAGAGATTTATTTCTGCTCTATTACCTGCTATGCCTAAATAAGAATATGTGTAACTGAGACATTCTGTGAGCATACCCTGCTCGCGGACAGCAAGCATGGGGCTATTATTTCTGTGCTGCGGTGCTGTGATCTGTAATTTGCCTCGTCCTCCAAAAATACGAACATCTTTGAAAGCCCACATTTGAGGCTTCATGGAATCAAATTCTAGTGATTGGAAAAGTTTCACTACCAGGCTGAAAGACAGACGGGGAGAAGCTTATGAGACACAGAGATGAGCTTGAGAACACGCAGCACACCACAGAAAAATCTGGAAGACACAAAGACCTCATACTCAGAAGACTCCTTTGTTAACGGAAAAGCTTATTATCCAATGTGAAATAACCAACGTTAGATTTGGGTCCAAAACTTGAAAACGGGGGTTGGTGCTGTGGCAGAGTAGGCTAAGCCTCAGCCTGTGGCAGTGGCATCCCCTATCAGTTCCTGGTTCGAGTCCCAGTTGCTCTACTCTCTAATCCAGCTTCCTGCTTATGGCCTAGGAAAGCAGCAGGGACTGGCTCAACTCCTCGGACCCCTGACACCTGTGTGGGAGGCCCAGGGAAAGCTCCTGACTCCAGATCAGCTCAGTTCTGGCTGTTGCAAAGATCTTTCAATTTCTGTCTTTCCTTCTCTCTGTAACACTGCCTTTCAAATAAAAATAAATCTTTTTTAAAAAGCTATTTGTACAATGCTTTTTTCTCTCTCTCTTTATAAGCCAGACAAGCTTGCAAGCTTTCCACTGGCATTAACAATGCTGTGAGTTAACACTCCAAACGGCCACGGGCTTCCTCAAAGTCTCCAACAGAGATTCAACGTCTGGTCATCAGAATCAAGCTGAGTTTTCACTTGGGGTCATTTCAGTTTCTGAGCAAGAGGTTTCCCTTTCATTTTGGAAAAAAAAAAAAAACAGCACGATAAGGGCTGAACATTGAAGAGAAAGTAACTCCAACTCTATCCACCACACAGGAGAAATTTAGCCATCCTCAGCCAGCTAGGCAAGAAAATAAAAAAAAAAAAAAGTACTGATAAGATGATATTCAACTCCTTTAACTAGTTTGATAAACCACTGAGTGCCAGCCGAGATTTCAAATCAGAGAACCTGCAGGCTGCTGTGGTGTGCGCGCCCTAATGAATAATTTCCCCCTTTTCCCTTTTTATCTCGCCTTTAGGAAACCGTAACAAAAACCAAATCCCAGAAGCAAGCCATAAGCCAAGGCAACAGGCGTTAGAGAAGACGCGCAACTTAAAAAGAAAAAGCTACAAAATGTCCCACTAAGACTGCTTCAATCAAAGATTAACTTTGTCCTGCTGAACGCTTCAAAACGCGTGTTGTCAATAGTCATTCCTAATTACATATGCTTTAAATACAATATGTATGTTAATCAACTTGAACCTCAGATCCAGGTGCAATGAAGCAAAGCTGATGTGGTTCCCAGATTACAGCCCAATAGCCCCCACAGAAAATGGAAAACAGTGTGTGCAGAGCGGACATGGGGTGAGGGGGGAGGCCAGAGAGCAGGGCGGTCCGGGCCGGTCCCGCCCGCCAAGCCGGCCGCCCATCGCTGCCCACCGCGGACACCACAAGCACAAAGTTCACACCGCAGGAAGGTTCAGGGGGCGCGCCTGCATATTCTGGGGGGCTTCTCCCCGCGCCCCCAGGACCAGCCGTTAGAGAGGGCACTGACTCGAGCCGCCCCCCCCCAGTCGTTCACGGCCGGCCCTGCTCCCCACACACGCTGCGGCTCTGCCAGCAGCAGCTCCCCCCCAAGAACCGGGACCCCGAGTCCTCGGGGTCGGCGTCGTCCTCCTCGAGGTTCACCCGGTGGGTGGCCGGGGGACCACCAGTGGAGGCAAGGGGGACACCCGGAGGGGCCCAGCCCAGCCCTGGAGGACAAGTTGCGCGGCTGCCAGAGAGCTCCCCCGGCCCGGCGCCCCCTCCCTCAGCCGCCCCCTTTACCTTCTTGCTGCTGCCGTCGCGAGGCTCGGACTCCACGAGGCTGGGGGTGCCGCGGGTCCCCGGCTGGACGGCCGTCTTGGGGCCCTGGGGGAGGCGCGGCTCGCCGGACGACGGGGGCGCCGCCGCGGGGCCCGGCGCGTCCCCGGCCTCTTTGCCGCCCTGGTACACCGGCCGGTCCTCGGAGACGTGGATGCTCGGGGCGCAGCCCATGCTGGCGGCGGCGCGGCGGACACGCTGGCGGGCAGCCGCGATCCGGTCAGCAAACGGCCCGCCCGGCGCCTCGGGACGGCCGCGGGCGCCGTGTCATCGCCGCCTGGGCGGGCGGCGGCGGCGGCGAGCGCGGGTCTCGCGTCAGGAAGTGCGGCCGCCCCTTTTATCGCGGTGCGGGCGCGGCGGCGGCGGCGGCGGCGAGGGGGCGTTGGGGCGGGCGGCGCACCGCGGCCACCCCTCCGAACATGCCCTTCCTGAGGCGGGAGCCGCCGGCCGCCTCCCTCACATCGCTGCGCTCCACTCGGTCGCGCCGCGCTTCCGGGGAATGTCGGGGGGAGGGGAGATGGGCGCTCGCTCGGCCCGAGACAAGAGCGTCCTCGCGCCGAGGCGCGACCCCCGGCCTAACCCCCCTCCCCGGGAAAGCGAGCAGCCCCCGGCCGCGCCCTCCCTGCACCCCGCGCTCGGGCGCCGGTAGCGGGGAAGGCTAGAGCTTCCACACGTTCCCGCTGTCCGGTTTGGAGAGTTAAGGAGGGTGTTTTTTTTTTGAGGGGAGGGCAGGGTGCGGGTGAATTTACTGAAACCTCTCGGGGCGGCCGGGAAGAGAGCCCCGCAGACTCGAGCCGGGCCTGGGGCCGCGCCGTCTAGAAGCGCCCGAGCCGCAGCGCGCACGGCGGCCGGTTGCGGCGGCTCCGGCTCCGGTCCCCCCGCGCGCCCCGGGCCTGGTCTTGCCGCCTGCCCGGCGCGCCCAGCCCCCAGCGGTGACCTCCAGCGGCTGCTGGCGTCAATGCAAAGCAGCTGGGGCGCCCGCCGCCGCCTCCTCGGGCCCCGCCCGCCACGGAGCATGCGCCACCGCGGGCCCGGCTGGCGGCCCCGACCCCGGGCCGGGAGCGCTTCCCGGGAAGGAAGGGGAAGGGACCTGCTCTGGCCCGGGGCCGGCGGCTCCCGGAGCGCTAGGTTCGCTCCCGGCTCCGTGACCTCGGGTCACTGGGTCACGGCCTAGGAGCCGGGGGGGTGGGAATGAGACGTCCACCAGGGCGCAGCACCCCGGGGCCCGGCGGGGAGCTCGGAGCTGGGCGTTCCTGCCCTGGACCGCGCCCTGGGCGGCTGTGGGCCGGAGAAGCCCGGGAGGGCGGCTGAGGGTGCCGTCCGGCTCTCTGCCTCGGCACCCACAGGCGCTCTCCGGGTCCCTCGCGGAGCATCAGAGGGGCGTGCGCTGCGCACGGGGAGGCCCCGAGGGCGCACACCCGCAGACGCGCACTCAGCCAACCCCATGAGGGAGCGGCTGCCCGACAGCTGCGGGGTCTCGCAGGTCCGATCCCCGGGCGGCGGCGTGTCCGCGGAAGCGGGTGAGGGAGTGCGGAGCCGCCGGGCCCCCTCTCTTTCCTCTCCCGCGGTCCACACCTTTCCTCGCGTGGCCCCGGAGCGACCCTGAGGAGCCGCGGCTCGCGCCTCGGCACGGCTGCCGTGAAGACCCGGAGGCGGCACTCGGGACTGGAGCCCAGGCTACCGCGCTGCAGCCGCTGCCCAAACTGGGCAGCTTGGGACTGCCCCCTGGACCCTGGGAACCGGAGGAGCGGCCGGGGGGCGATTTCCCGAAGGCGGCTGAGCCAGGAAGCTGGAAACTCCTGCGCGATTCTTTCTCTACTCTCCCAATCGGCCCTTGCCAAGGCACGTGGCTCCGTTGTCAAGTTCAAGCACATTAAGCAATAATATTTATGTCTCCCTGTCTTGTAAAAATACACCCTGCTGGATGAAGAGATTTTGAAAAACAGAGCGAAGATTTTTTTTTTAAGCCATCACCCTCATTCCACCTAAGGTTGGAGTGGGTTTTGGCTTTGATCTGCAGTTTTGGGGGCAGGTGAGGGAGTGGGCACAATCTGGGTCTTTTGCACAGATTGATTCGGGAAAAACATGCGTTGAACCACCACAGTGCAGGGACCCCTAACGAGCGCCCGGGCTCTTGGGGCCGCAGGGCCAAGCAGCCTTGACCACTGGCAAGCTGACCTTGTCACCCCCTGCCCTGGATTCGTGCCCTTGCAGGCCGGACCTGGCCGTCCTTTGGAAATCCTTGAACCTCTCCAAGGGGGGTGGCGGGGTGGCTGGTGGGACGGGGACTCAGCTGAGCCACAAAGCAACTTGTGCCTGCCCCCACCTCCTGCTGGCCCCAACAGGGTCAGACTTGCTGCCGGTCTGTTTCTGTTCCTTTCCCCCAGGACCCTAGACTGGAGGCAGAGGCTGGGGCAATGTGCAAAAACAAGGGAGCTAGGCCCAGCCTTCCTCTGCTTTGTGAGTGACACATCAGCCAGTTCCCACGGGGCGCCTCTGACCAGGGGACACTCTCAGAAGTGCGTGCGTTAGGGGGTCCAAAAGGCAGGTGCAAGCACTTGGCCCGGGCACCACACAGCCAGGTCTCCACCTGCGTTGGTACTCCTTTCTCTAGCCTGGGGTGAGACATTCAAAGCACCCTAGGGCTTCCCCTCCTCTTTCTCCATCCAAGGAGGCTGCCCCATTAGGACACCTTGAGCACCCTGGTTCTGAACCCCAGCCCTGCCCTCTGCTAGACCTCAGGGTGCACCTTCTTCGGCTCTCAGAGCCGGCTTTCCTCCGCTGTCAGTCTAGGATTAGAGATGCCACGTTGCAGGGATTAAATGGGCTAACCGATCCCACATGCCCGGAATAGAACAGCTATTAACCCTGACACCTGCGCGGGCTGTGCTTCGCTGGGTCCACTGTCACCTGCCCAGCCACTCCTGCCCAACCCTCTTAGCCCTGAAAACCATGGGAGGAAATGCAATTAACCGTAAGGAGCCATCCACACAGACTTCTCAGCAACCGCACCTAACTTCATCGGGTTCTTTCCTCGAAGTCAAAACTTCCCCAGGTGGTTTTTGTTTTATTTTTAATGACTGTCGTTGTGTTGAACGCACACTCTCTAAAACTTACACCTGAAAATGTGCTCAGGCAAGAGTAACAATGTAAAACTAAGCAGAAGTGCCTCATGTGTGCAGGGACAAAGGAAAACCTGCCCTGCTTCCCCACTTCCTTCCTTCCCTCATGGAGGTAACTGTTGGGAACAGTGTGTGTGCTTTCCGGACCTGCACTCAACTTATTACACATGCACGTTCCAATATTGCAGACAAAAGGCCACAGTAGCCGGCTGAAGGGCTAACTTTAGCATGGATAGCTGAAACCACACCTTCTTGTCCTATGGGTCTGCCCCTCACCCCAACTCCAGAAATCAAGAGGGAAAATGAAACCCGAAGCTGAGCTGAGAAAGAATTCTCTGCCCCTAGATAAGGCGGCCCAGGCCAGGCCTCCCTTGGCCATCCCCTCATTCCTTCCTGGGTTTCTCTACCCTTACCCCCCAAAACCTTTTAAAGTGTTATTGGAGCTGCAAGGAGCAAGCTGCGCCCCCTGGAGGCGGGAACGCAGGTTTCTGAATTCAGGTCAAAGGCTCCCTGCATCTCCCTTCTCCTTCTGGTTCTGGGACTTGGCACCCCTGAATTGCAGGTCACCTAGAGTCTGGACGGACAGCTCATCGTGGACTGGCTTCCTCAGATGACCTTGCCAACCATCCCCATCTCAGACACAGCTCTGTCCCTCACAGAAGCCCACACGTGGCAGGGGAATACAGTCCTCGACCTCTACGGCATGCAGCCCAGGATTCTTTTGCAATTTTATCTAATTACGATGCTAATGTCTCCACTGGTTCACTACCAGAGCCACAGCTGGGCCAGGGCTGAAGCCAAGAGCTAGCAACTGGGTCAGGCACCCAAGTATTGAAGCCATTACCTGCTGCATCCCAGGGTATGTATTAGCAGGAAGCTGGGACTGGATGTGGGGCCAGAATTCAAATCCAGACATGAGATGCAGGCAGCCCACATCTTAGCAATTAAGCCAAACATCCCAACTCCTAGCTTCTTTTTTCCCCCAATGTTTATTTTATTTGTTTGAAAAACAGAGTTAGAGAGAGGCAGAGATGGTCCATCTAGCTGTTGGCTCACTCCCCAGTTGGCCACGCCACCTCCTAGGTTCTTGACACTGCTCTATTGGGACATAACTGTCAGAAACCCAACTTCATCTAGCAAATATGAATACTTAGGCACAGGGGTTCATTAAGCCAAATCTGGGAAGAGCAAGGTGGTGTCAGGCTGACTTTGTCACGGTCCTCACAGCTACCCTCCCTCTCTTTTCTCCATTCCCCTCATGCTGTTGGTTTTGGGGATTGATTTATGTGAAAGGCAGAGTGACAGAGAGAAAGAGAAAGAAGAGAGAGAAAGAATCTTCCATCCACTGGTTTACTCCCTAAATGGCCACAAGGGCAGGAGCTGAGCTGATTCGAAACTAGCAGTTTCTTTCGGGTCTCCCATGTGGGTGCAGGGGCCCAAGATTTTTAGCCATCCTCCACTGCTTTTCCAGGCACATTAGCAGAGAGCTGGATTGGAAGTGGAGCAGCTGGGACTTGAATCAGCACTCTGATGTGAGATGCCCATACCACAAGCAACAGCTTAATTCACTATGCTAGCACCGGCTGCTCCCTCCCACAGATAAGAACCCTGAGTTTTTAGCCGGAGGGTTACTCAACCCACATGCTACATCAAGAGTCTTGTTCAACAGTGGGAGCTCCTTAAACACAACGAAGAACATCTGTTTCTCCACAGAGGCCTTCAAGATAGCCAAGAGGACCAGCACTTCCCTGGAGCATAACCACAGACTCAGAAATAAATAAGGGGCAGTGACTATCAGCAGCACCCCCTGCCATTCCCTAGATGTTCTGAGAGTGGGACATGTCAGGGGGGAGATGCCCCGTGCCATTGACTAGGCAGGGGACGAGAGCCTTAGGACCAGACTCAGAAATCAAGGTGAAGGCCCAATTCAGCAAACGGCATCTGTCCATTCTTCTGTACACTGAGGGTGACCGACAGGAAAAGGCAATCGCAGCAAATGCCACGTGCTACCGGGACCCTTCTAGGGACCCCCAGATCCCGGCATCCCTCACCCGGCAT